TCTCCTCCTCCCCCTCCTCCCCCCTCCCGTCACTCCTCCCTCCTCTCTGCGTTTCACCCACCCAGTACAGCGTTTCGTGGCCCTATCGGGAGCTCCACCGAAGGCCGCAGTGGCAGCTTTCGCATGGCGGCCTCGGGCCATTTCGGCACACCCCTCACGAGGATCGTGGCCCCATAGGGAGCTCCACCGAAGGCCCCAGTGGCAGCGTTCGCATGGCGGCCTCGGGCCATGTCGGCACACCCCTCACGAGGATCGTGGCCCCATGGCCCCAGTGGCAGCGTTCGCATGGCGGCCTTGGGCCATCCCGGCACACCCCTCACGAGGATCGTGGCCACATAGGGAGCTCCACCGAAGGCGCCAGTGGCAGCGTTAGCATGGCGGCCTCGGGCCATTTCGGCACACCCCTCACGAGGATCGTGGCCACATAGGGAGCTCCACCGAAGGCGCCACTGGCAGGGTTCGCATGGCGGCCTCGGGCCATTTCGGCACACCCCTCTCGCGGATCGTGGCCCCATAGGGAGCTCCACCGAAGGCGCCACTGGCAGGGTTAGCATGGCGGCCTCGGGCCATTTCGGCACACCCCTCACGAGGATCGTGGCCACTGGGGAGCTCCACCGAAGGCGCCAGTGGCAGGGTTCGCATGGTGGCCTCGGGCCATTTTGGCACACCCCTCTCGCGGATCGTGGCCCCATAGGGAGCTCCACCGAAGGCCCCAGTGGAAGGGTTCGCATGGCGGCTTCGGGCCATTTCGGCACACCCCTCACGAGGATCGTGGCCCACTGGGGAGCTCCACCAAAGGCGCCAGTGGCAGGGTTCGCATGGCGGCCCCGGGCCACTGCGGCACACCCCTCACGAGGATCGTGGCCCCATAGTTGTGCTGCTTCAACAGCCGCGCCTGGCGTCGTACTCCGCCTTGTCGACGTGCAACGCCACCTCCTCCCTCATGGCTCTCAAGGCCCTCTCCTGCTTCTGCTCCTCGGTGAGAGGGACGCCGTCCTTGTCGTCGTCGGCGCCCGCGAAGACGGCCACGAACGTGTCCCTGCGCATGCCGGGCTCCGGCGGGAAGCCGTGGCCACATAGGGAGCGCGGGCGAAGATGGTATTCACAATTGCGGTATTCACAACTGCATATGGTTGGGTCCTTCGCCAGGCTAATTTGCAAGGGGTTCGTGGAGAAGTGTTCTGATAGAACAAAAGGTGTCCCCGCATATCGTTTTCTACAAGAGAGCCTCAGAAGGGGGTCGATACCGGGCCCTCACGCGTAGTGTAAATTCATATTTAGGATGGAATTGTGGTCAGAATCGTATGTGTTTTACTCTCCCGAAAAGGGGGGATAACGCCATGGGGGGGGGGGTCGAGTCTTTTTTAAAATATAAAAAGGAGGATACATGTGGTTCAACGTTTGTTGCTCAATCGGTTCCGTGCGTCACAGGTGGTGCAACATCTGTAGCGCAATCTATATTCTGCAATCACGGTGGAGCAATCTACGTGGTGCTACTTTCGTTTTTCAAACCATGAAATGCAATCCTGGTGGAGCAATTGATTATGTGGTGCAGCATGTGTGGTGCTATCAAGGTTGTGCAGAGCTGTTGTGTAGTATGCGTGGTTCGTGGTGCATCGTATGTGGTGTACTTTAAGCTGTGCAATATATGTAGTGAAATCTATGTTGTGTAGTTTCCGTGGTATTATCTATACAGTGCCATATATGTGGTGCAGTCTGTTGTTTAATCTATGCGGGGCTACCCATGTGCCGGCGACGAGGCGGGCGGCGACATGGCGGCGACGGCGGTAACATAGGCGCCAAACCGACGCACAGGCCCATGGCCGGCGACGAGGCTGCGACGGGACGGCGATTGTGGCAACATCGACGCACAGGCCCAGACAATGGCCGGCGACGAGGCGGCGACGGGGCGGCGACGGCGGCAACATAGTCGCCAGGCCGACACACATGCCCAGTTGCTGGGAGCAATGCAAGAACCCCTAAGTGAAAACATTGCTTGGGGAATATATGATTGTTTAAAAAGCGTTTCCAGATTGCAAGTATCATCGGGAAAACATGGTATTGATAGGTGTTAAATGTCTACTTAGACTCGGGTTTCTATCTAGATGTGTCAACTGACCTTTGTGTTACAACGGCGCAACAGATCGGGCATGCCGTCACAAATCGCCCTCGCGGGCCGTGGACAAGGCGTTGGTGGCCAGAGGCTACCCCAATCATTTACCAGCGGGCCTCCATACTTGTATTCAGATTTATGTATCAAACTTTCTGCGGGCCCCTCTCGCCCGCTGTGCCGCGACTGACGCCGACGTCAATCTCGGGCTCAGCCAAGACTCCACGTCGCTGCTTACCTCGGCCGATACAGAGCATCTCTCGTTGCCGTTCACGAGCACGTTGCCCGTCAGCGGCTCTCTACAGGACATTCCATCGCAGGAACGGAAGACGCGCACCTTGGAGACCGAGCTTGTCTCACAGGTCATTCCAACCTAATGGCCTCCAACATGCCCGGGTTGTGGATCAGAGTTCTCAAGAATGATTATTCGCATCTCTTCGGAGTGCTCTCGGGGGCATCTTGAGAGCAGTTTGTAGGCGTCTTTGAATATTCTTGGGGGCCTCTCGGGGGCCTCTCAGGGGCCTCTTCGTGGCCTCTTGGTGGACTCTTGAGACCTCTTGGGGTCCCCTCGGGGCCGAGGGCTCGAAATGTCCGTTCGGTTTCCCGATCTGGACCCCCTGTTGGGGCCGTTTTTGGGCGCTGTTAGATCGTCTGGGGCGACTTTGGGTCTTCGGCCTTCTTGGGGCCCTCCGCTCTCCTCTCGGGCCTTCTTGGGGCGATCTTTGGGGCCTCGTTGGCCGTCTTAGAGCGTCGGGAAACCGAAGGGCGCGCACGTTGAAATCCTTCAAACACCAAGTGCAAATGAGTGATTGTTGCTTGTTGGGGCCCTCGTGTGGATGCTGTTGGAGGCCCCTGGGGCCGTCTTGGATGTGTCTCGGGCCGTCTCGAGGCTACAGTCTAGACGCTGAAATAAGGAACAGTTTGGGTTCGGAAGGGGCTCGATGTTCCTTTAGGTTCCTCCAGTGCTGTTCCTCTTGCCCTCCTGGGGCACGAGGTTGCTTACAGGGCCAATAAGGGGCTTCGTTCCTTGTCTAGCGTTCCTTCGTTCAGCGGCCCGACTATATTGACAATGCAGTCGAGCCGTGTTTCGGCAAGTCGGGGCTCTCTTGGACCGCTGCGTGCGGGCACGGCGCCCAGGGGACTCCCAGGAAGCACCCTGGAACTCACGGGAGGCAGCCCGGGAAACCCCGGGGACGCCCCAGGACGGGAGGAGGAGGAGGAGGAGGAGGCGGAGGAGGAGGAGGAGGAGGAGGAGAAGGACGGCCCGGGAAACCCCAGGACCCCTCCTCCTCCTCTTCTTCCTCCTCCTCCTCCTCCTCCTCCTCCTCCTCCCCCCCTCAAAGACATACATTTCTGGCTGCAGCAGCACCACAGCCTTTACCTTTCGGTGCTGCATGAGCCTTGTGGCACTCCGCTTTGTGCCAGAGGCACAGTGGCGGATGTTGTTGGCCGCGCACTTCTGGAGGGCCGGGCCCGTTCTGCTTGGGAGCCTCATCGTCAGTCACGCAGTCGGGCAAGTGGATGACATCCACGGGCTGATCTTTGGAGCCGTCGTCGGCTGGGCTCTCGAGCCACTTTGCGTCATCGCTGACTTCGACGTTGGCTGCTCCTTCAAGCGTTGTAATGTGGGGCCGGGCCACTGTGTTGACGACATCGTCGGTGCAGACCTCGAGATCGTTCTGGGTTCTGGAACGTGAGGGCATTTCTGCCTCTGTGCCTTGTGGGCTAAGACCATGTTGCCTTGTGAGCCAAGTTCCAGCCCGAGATGAAACAAGACGGTCAGGGCACAAGCCGAACAGCCAGAGTCCAGGCCGATGACCTCGCGGAGCAGCCGGGGCACCACCGAGCAGCCAGGGACACCAGTCGACGTTTCGAGGCGAGCGACTGCCTCGACCTCGTCTTTTCATCCAGCAGCTTACCCGCGGCAGGAGTGAGAACTCGCAGTGGAATGTCCCCCCAAACCCCCGAGTTCCGCCCGAGAAATTTGACCGCTGAGGGAAAATGGGTGGACTCCGGGATTACACCCCAAGGGAGCTATTCGCAGGCACCCCACTCGAGGACGGACGCCCCCCCACCGTATGTCCCAGGGTTGGTCCATTCGACAACCCCACGAAGCCAGGGATCGGCCCGTTGAGAACACTTTCGCAGCCCAACATTTCGAACACCACAGCTGTGTGAAGCTCAAGCCCAAGCACTTCTGCCCCTCCCACGCGGCTGAGCTCAATGCCCTCGCTGAGGCAGGTTCTGTCCTCCGTCCTGTTTTAGGGCAATGGAGCTGCATCGATGGCGCATTCTGCATAGCTGGTCTTCGTGGGTGCGTTCCGTCGTCCTGGGATCAGTGCGATGGTGCGCTGCTGCGCATCACGATGCGGTCCCTACGGATTCCTAGCGCCTGTAGGGGACCATATTGTCCAGCGTAGTTATGCGACTCGAAGACCCCGGGAAGTCCATCTTGCTCAACATTCGACGATATTCGCAATCTTGAACGTAATATGTCTTAATACGCAGTTTGCAGCAGCCATTCGACGATACCATCATATTAATCTTCGGACTGCCTTGGCCTAATAATCACACCACGCTAAGCACTACTAGACTAACGCAGTGGTTAGAGTAGCCTTGGTTTGATTATCAGTCTGACGGTTCGCCGATGTATCACGTAAACGGTCGATTGCACATATTGTGTTTTATAGGTTGCCTGATCGGCACAGGCATCGGGAGAATGATGCACAAGTTCGCTCATCTCTCCTCCACTGACTAGAGTCGCCCAGTTCGTCATTTTTTCCCGATCGTGTATTCTTAGCCTGTTGATGCCTCTGGGGAGGAGGGCGAGGCTCTGCCCTGACTGGGCCGGGCCTCGCTCGTCCCTGCCTGTCGTCGGGCTGCCCCCCAGGAGAGGGCGGAGCTCGTGGCGGAGCTGGAGGGGCACGTGAACGAGGCGTGGGAGTCGGTCGCCGCGGCGCCCCACGCCAACTACGTGCTGCAGAAGTGCATCGAGGTCCCGTCCCTTCCCGGCTCGCCTCCCTCACCCCGAGGGCGGGCCCGCGGGGGACGCCCCACGCCCAAGCGGAGGCGGCGGAAGCGCTGCCATTCGGAGGGCGGGCTCTTTTGATGGGATTCTGGCCTCCTGGTGGCTTCGCTCCTGCCTTCCCATCTCGCCCCCCATTCGCCCCGCGTCTCTCCCCTGGCGCTGCCGTGTGGGCGACGCAGAACAATGGGCTCGATTGCGCGGACGTCTGCGCGCAAGCTGCCCGCGCAGGGTCGGGCGGGAGCGCCCTCGTTTCCCTTGCAGCGTGCCGCGCTGGCGGCCCGCGCGCGCCACCGCGCAAGGTCGCTATGCCATCATACGTGAGATCCGTCTCTTTGCGTCGCTCATGGGGCGCCGTCGCCTCTCCCGCGTGCTGCCCCTCCGTGCGCATTCAAATCAGACCGCGAGGGTCCCTTCGAAAATGGTGCCCCCCGTGCGGCCCTGGCCACATCTCGGGATCGGCGCTCCGCTCGAGTCGTTCAAGATGGCGTTTTCTTTATCCTGAGGCGGACCAAACTTGTAGACGGGAGTCCTTCATCGTCGTTGCCGCCCCTCCCTCGCCTTCAGCAGATCCTCGTCGTCTTCCTCCTCCTCTCACTACTACTATTACTACTACTGCTGCTGCTGCTACTACTACTACTACTACTACTACCACTACTACTACTATTACTACTACTACTACGACGACGACGACTACTACTACTACTTCTACTACTACTACGACTACTACTGCTACTGCTACTATTACTACTACTACTACTACTACTACTACTACTACTACTACCACTACTACTACTACTACTACTACGACTTCGACTTCGACTTCAACTACGACTACGACTACGACTACGATTACTACTACTACTACTACTACCACCACTACCACTACCACTACCACTACCACCACCACTACTACTACTCCTACCACTACTACTACTACTACTACTACTACTACTACTACTACGACTACCCCTACTGCTACTACTGCTACTACTACGACTACTACTACTACTACTACTACTGTTGCTACTACTACTGCTGCTATTATTACTACTACTACTACTACTACTACTACTACTACTACTACTACTACTACTACTACTACTACTACTGCTACTACTACTACTACAAGTACTACTACTACTACTATTACTTCTACTACACTACGACTACTACGGCTGCGACTACTACTACTACTACTACTACTACTACTACTACGACTTATTTCGACTACCACTACTACTAGGTAGTAGTAGTAGTAGTAGTGTACTAGTAGTACTACTACTACTACTACTACTACTACTACTACTACTACTACTACTACGACTACTACTTCTACTACTACTACTACGACTACTACTACTACGACTACTACTACTACTACTACTACTACTACTACTACTACTACTGCTACTACTACTACTACTACTACTACTACTACTACTACTACTACTACTACTACTACTACTACTACTACGACTACGACTACGACTACGACTACTACTACTACTACTACTACTACTACTACTACTACTACTACTACTACTACTACTACTACTACTACTACTACTACTACTACTACTACTACTACTACTACTACTACTACTACTACTACTACTACTACTACTACTACTACTACTACTACTACTAGTACTACTACTACTACTACTATTACTACTACTACTACCACTACTACGACTACTACTACTACTACTACTACTTCTACTACTACGACTACTACGACTACTACTACGACTACTACTACTACTACTACTACTACTACTACTACTACTACTACTACTACTACTACTACTACTACTACTACTACTACTACTACTACTACTACTACTACTACTACTACTACTACTACTACTACTACTACTACGGCTACTACTACTACTACTACTACTACTACTACTACTACTACTACTGATGCTGCTGCTACTACTACTTTTTACCACTACTTCTATTACTACTTCGCTCCTAGTCCTGCTGCCCCTTCTGCGTCTGATTCTCTTCCTGCGTCTTCATTTTCGTTTTCCTCCCGCTCGTCCTCCTGCTCATCCGCCGCGTCTTTCGATGTACGAAGACTCCCTTTCTGATTGCGCATCACACGATGGGGTCATTTGAGGGATCAATGCCCTCGAGGATACCCCAGTCAGCGGATATAATCACTTCCAGCGCAACGGAAAGCGATGGGTGGGAAGGGTAGACTGTCAGATGTGGCGCGAGCGCGCCTAGGTTACTCCCGCTTCGCTTCCTCGCCCCCCTCTCCGCCCCCCTGCCGAGGTACGTGGCGAGAAGCATGTCCGTAGCCGCGGCTTGGCGGGCCGGGCCCCTGGGCCGCGACCCCGCCCACAAGGGGCGCTTCTCCGCGGATGCCCCGCACAGAACAGTTCCGTGCCACCGCGTATCCGCGGGATCGGCGCCTTCTTCTGAGCGGCAGCGAGGCCTGCCTCCTGTTTGTTCCTCCCTCCGCTGTCCTCTCGTTGCCTTCCCTCCTCCCTCCTGGTGATCAATTCGCTTGTAGCCCGCCTGCTGCGACCTTTGGACGGCGTCCGGCTCATCCGGCGCGCCCGCGATCAAAAAAATATCGGCGGGATCGCGCCCCTGAACCCAGACCGCGATGGCACGGATACGGATGCATATTTGCCGCGCGTGAGAGGTGCTCCCCCCGAACCGCTGCCGCTTCATCTGCGACGAGATGCTCCAGGGCGACGTCGCCAGGGCCGCGCAGAGCAAGTTCGGGTGCCGCATCCTGCAGCGCCTCATCGAGCACTGCCGCGGCCAGGACGTCGCCCCCCTTCTCGACGCCCTGCTCGCCGAGGACACCCTGCAGGCCCTCATGCTCTCTCGCTTCGGCAACTTTGTCGTCCAGTGTGTGCTGGAGCACGGGCCCGCGGAGTCCGGAGAGACAAAAGCTGCACAGTCATGAACTTTCGACAGTCCGTGCGGATTTCTTGAATCGGCGCTGGCCCCCCTTGCTGCGCCTCCGCCGTCGCCCCTGGCGCGCTCAGCGCGCCTTGGGGGGGGGGCCCTCGCCGATCCAAGAAATTCGTGCGGACCGTCGACAGTCGCCATGGGGGGGCCCTCGCCGATCCAAGAAACCCGTGCGGACCGTCAAAGGTTGCGTTTCTGCCGTTCTGTTTTCCTCTAGGAGCGCAGGTCGCGCGTCGCGGCGGCGCTGGCCAGGCAGGAGGACGGTGCCTTCGCCAAGCTCGCGGAAAACAAGTACGCGAGCCATGTGGTCCAGCACGCCATGAGGCACTGCTCCGAGGCGGACCGGCGCCTGCTGGTGGGCAAGGCCCGCCGCGGGGGGGGGAAAACGGCGCCTGGCTCCCCTGCTCCACACCGCTGCGGGCCTCCTGGGAGCCAGCAGTGGGGGATCGGGCTTTTGTGGTGCCGGGGACTGTCCAGGGCCCTCGGGTTCCTTTGTTTTATATTCGGGCATGTTCACTATATTTTACATTCGTCCAAACGCAGTGTACACATCCTGCTCAACACCTGTCGCCCAGAGAACTGGCCAGAAAGTCTTAGCTACACATTGTCCTGTGGCGTTTCTGCGAAGCCATACGGGACAGGGCGCAGAGACCTCAGTGTGTATACGCGGAGTTCCCATATATGCCCGGGCGGCTCCAAGTGGGAGCGGGGGGCTGTGGGCTGCGCCAGCTGCGACCCGCCTTGAGGTGCTGGGCGTAGAGGCGAAGGACTCGAAGTTCAAGCGCTCCGTCTACGGCAGCTTCGTCGCGGGCGAGGCGCGGAAGTGGAGCAAGGCCGCCGCGCAGTGAGCCGCGAGCCTGGGCGCAGTGAGCAGCGAGCCTGAACAGAGGAGGGGGGCGATGCAGGGCAGTCTTCGGCAGGAGGACGCTGGGGGCGGAGACGAGGGGCGAGGAGGGGGGGACGTGGGTGGTAACAGCGTGTCCCGAGGGCGGCTGAGGTCGGGCGCGCGCGGATCTGCCGCGGCGCTCTTCCTTATGCCGCCCGAGGGGCGGCGTGGTGCTCTCGGGCCTGGTGCTGCGCGCCCTGCGCGGCGCGAACCCAGGCTGCTTTTGACTCTTCTTTTCCACTCCGGCAGCGATGTACAGCGCTGCCTTTATTCGAAGAAGCAAAAGAGCCATAAACATACACTTTTGGCGCTCCGCGCGGATCTCTTGGATATGCGGGGGGGCCCCCCCTGGCGGCGCCTCCGGCGCCGCCCCTGGCTCGTTCCGCGCGCCAGGGAGGGGGGTCCAGCGCAGATACAAGAAACCCGCGCGGAGCGCTGGAAGTATATGGTTATACCGTTTTTGCTTCCTCTACATACCCTGGCGCCAAGCGCGCCACTTGCCGATCGACGCGGCTGGCCCGGCGCCCTCGCGGCGGCGCGCCGCGGGCCAGGCCCGCCGGCAGTGGGTTTTATTCCTGCGTGCGTCTTTTTTACGCGGCCGCGCCGCCGTGCACTGCGGGCCGGGGAGTCCCGGCAGAAGACCGCAGACGGACAGGTTCGCCCCTGTCGCATGGGGAGGGCCCCCGTCCCGTCGCGTGTGGCTGCTGATCTCCCGGCCGCCAGCGAGGGCGTCGCCGGCCTGGAAGCTTCTCGCAGCCGGCGCCGCGCCTGAGGCCGCGCACCCGCCTTGGCGACGAGGGGCAGGGCCCCCGCAGCTGGAGCCGGCGCGCACCTTCAGGCGCAGGCTGCGCAGCTTCCTGCGATTCCGCGAGAGTCCGCTCTTCCCATGGCACGGGGAGAGGTTTTGGCTCTTGTTGTGTCCCGTTTCCGCTCGAATCGAAGCGGTCTTCATCCGAAGCCGTCCATTTTTGATCCAGTTGCGCAGCCGCGCAGATCCGCCGAAGCGCGGCACGATGGCTCTGGCGTTGTGTGGTTGTAGCGGTGGGGGTCCCTTCATACGGGCCTCTTGGAAGTAATGGAGGTACCCCGAGCCCTGTACAGTCTTGGCGATCCTCGGGCCGACCTGGGGCAACTCGAGGTCCTCTGCGCAAGAGCACCCTGATATCGTACGTCAGATATGCCATGTCTGGTGCCTGCTGAAGGGCTCCTCAGGGTCCCTTTGGGAGGCCTCTTGGGGTCTCAGGGCTGGACCTAAACGGTGTCTTGGCGATTTCGTGGGCCGTTTTCGTTTCGATTCGTTTTTGCGGGAAAGGCGGATTGAAGGGGACGAACACGACAACAAAAGGAAAACGACACCAGAACGAAGACGAAAAGCACCGTTTAGGTTCAGCCTTGTGGAGTCTCTTGGGGGTGTCTTCTGGCATCGCAGGGCCGCGTTCCCTGAGCTCGCAGAGCGGGAACCACGGCTGGCCCCATCGTCAGGAATTTTTACCCGCCGTCCGGGGAGCTTCCTCTGGGAGCCCTTTCGCGGCCTCTCTGGAGCACCTTCGTGGATTTGGGGCTTCTTGAGTTTGTTGTTATTGTTGTTGTTGGTGGTGGTGGTGTTGTTGTTGTTGGTGTTGTGGTTGTTGTCGTTGTTGTTGCTGGTGGTGGTGGTGTTATTGCTGTTTGTTGGTGTTGTTGTTGTTGTTGTTGTAGTTGGTGTTGTTGTTGTTGTTGGTGGTGTTGGTGTTGTTGTTGTTGTGGTTCCTGTTGTGGTTGTTGGTGCTGTTGTTGTTGTTGTTGTTGTTGTTGTTGTTGTTGTTGTTGTTGTTGTTGTTGGGCTTGCTTTGTTTTGACTTGTTTTGGGTTGGTTAGGTTTTGTTTGTTTTGGTTTGTTTGGTTGTGGTTTGTTTTATTTTGCTGTTGGGGCACTCTGGAAGCATCTTGGGCTTCTCTTGGAGTGCTTCTTGGGCCATCTTGAGACGCCCTGGAGGCCGACGAGCCGACATTCATAAACTCGAATTGCAGGCGTACGTGTTTAATGAGCTTGGCCCCTGGAGGCCCCCTGGGCAGTCCTCTTGGAGTTCTCTTGGGCCGTCTTGTGGCTGTCTCGAGGCCGTCTTGTGGCCACGCTGGGCTGTCTTTGGGACGCCGTGGGGACAAAAGAGGCCTCCGTGCCAAGGGCTGGTACGGCTATGCGAGCCCGCGCCCTCCCTCCCCCCCAATGTCATCGAGGATACGTAAGACTCGAGTGCGCCAGGACTCGGGGTTTCGCCGACGCTTCTTGACGAGCGCGTCCTGCACTGGGACGGAACAGTGTTCGTGGGATGTTTGCAGCGGGAGCTCGCGTCAAATTTCAGATCGGGTCGCGCCATGTTCATGATGGCCCTGTCTCGGGCCGGGCGAAAGGGGGGGATTGGGAAACGGGGGGTTACGAAATTTGCTGCATGCAGCTGGTTGCGGCCTCACCGAGGGGCCCATTCCTCGATACATCGCCGCCTCCGGCGCCAGAAGGCGCCGGGAAAATCAGCTACGTGAGCTGATTCTCAAACCCCCCCTTTGCTATCCCCCCCTTTCGCCCGACCCGACTGTCGGGCCAACCCGAGTCCCCCTGACCCGAGTCTTACGACTTCCCGACATCGGCGGCGAGCGAGGGGGGGAAAAATGAGAAAAGGCAGGCCTTCCCAGAAGGCTCGGAGGTTCCCCGGCCTTCTCCGAGCCTTCTGAGAATTCGTCCTGAGCCTTCCCCGAAGACAACAAAGAAACACACACTTCTCAGAAGGCGCGAGGGCTTCTGAGAAGCCCCGCCGCCTCCCGAGAGGGCCTTCTCCTTCTCACGTCTCCCCCCTCTGCTCGCCGCCGATCGCCGGTCCATCCGCTTCCGGGCCAAGCCCTCCAAAGATCTCACACGGCACGGGGCCGCCAGGAGGCCCGCCGTTTTGAGCCCGCAGGGCTGGAGCCCTGGCGAGCCCCGACTTCGGGAAACTGGCACGCAGATCTCGCGACCACGTGGGAGGAGGAGGGGAAGGAGGAGGAGGAGGGGGAGGGGGAGGGGGAGGGGGAGGGGGAACAGGAGGAAGTGGCATGTTGGCTATGTTTGCCCCTGTTGGGGCCCTTTTGGCGGGGCCTCTTGGGGGCCTCTTGGGGCTTCTTGGGGGCTTCATGGGAGCTCTAGGGGCCGCGTGGTGGCGTGTTGGGCTGTCTTGGGAGACTTTCGGCGCTTTTGACTCCTTCGCAGGCTGTTTTGGGGACCACTCTGGGACGGTCTTCGGGCTCTCTGTGGCCGTATTGGAGGTCTGTTGGGCCGTACTGAGGTTAGGGCCGTTTTGGAGGTTCTTGGCTCCTTTTAGGGCCACACAAGAGTGGACAAGGGAGCTCGGATTTACGTTAAGTCTTCTAAGAGTGGGCCTGAATGGGGCCACGTCGTAAGACGGGCGACGATGAATCTTGGCGACAATAATACTACACACGAGACATTCATATGCAAGATCAACCAACCCGGTGCACTTGCAATGCACCTGTACCGAGTGGCGTGACGAATATTCGCCCTCAACTGTGCTGGGGGCCTCCTGCGCCAGCCCTGCTCGGAAACGAGGGGCAGCGGCCGTGCCCAAGGCGGGTTGCGACCGTCGATGGCGATCGTCTTCCCCCTCGATTGAGCGTGGCCGCGTGCTGCCCCCTATTCCCAAATTTCGGACACTTACTTTGCCCGACGCAGAACAACAAACAGCCTTGCCAGCGGATGCCCCGGTCAAGCAAAAAGAAAGTCAGGAAGTTGTCAAAGAAGCCGGCATCAAACCACGCAAGATACCCAAAGTAGTCGAAGACGGCAACGACGACAACTACTAAACTGACGTCCCCCTAGACGCCGACAGCGACGACGATGAGGAAGCCTTCATCGCACTGCCAGCGGGGCCACCTGCGGATACACACGCCAATGGGTTCTCCATAATCCCAACCTTGTGTCCCTGGCGACACTACAAGGTGGACATGCTGAAATTAATGTGGAGATAATGGGATAATGTTGCAGTTAGCCTTCAGGCGAGTTTTAACCTCATGAACAAACCTTGACAACCGTTCCTATCTTGACTTTGGAAACAAGGAAGTCCAAGACGCAGTTATACACAACTTGGACGTATGCTTCGTTAGCGCTGGTATATTACAGCCTAACTGCAGAACAACTGGACTGTCGTCCTATTTCATTTCTAAACTCAACTACGACACGTGGCGCGAGCGCCACAATGAAGACCTTCCACACATCCAGTTCTGTGGAAGGGCTGTCGCGCGTCAAGATGACCTACGGCGGTTTTACTTAGGAGAACAACTGGTGGGCACCTGGGTGGACGAAATACCACCATGGACTACATTGGCCAAGTGCGAGGGCGCTTGCAGAACTAATGTGGACCAACGTACTGCGGGCCTCGTGACTCCCATGGGGAATTATACGCAAACCTAGTGGGATAATGGCCAACCGCCGCCTCTTGCTGACACCCTTCGAGAGGAAACGGTGCACGGGCCATCATCAACATGCCTCGGTTTGTAACGAGGAACTGGCCAGGGCAGCCCAATATACTCCGAGGATGCAGTCCCTCGTCTTCGAAGCAGTTCAAATTGCGCACAACATTTTCTTAGTGAATCGTGACCCTCCTCATGATGATCCTCGCTCATCTTCCGTTCTCGTCACCAACATACGAGGATTCGACTTGGATGACCCAGCTATCCGCTGGCGCCCCGACGGGTCGATTGCGAGACCGCCCTCAGGAGGACGGGGAGGTCCATCGTGCGCGGGCAACGTCAACATGCATCCCCCTTCCCACGACAGGAACCCTAAACGGTGTAGGTGGTACGATAAGGAGGATTACCACTGGGAGTGTCCATGCTGCAAGAAGAATTATTGTCCGACTAAACCTGGTTACGTACTTACGACTGGCAATTATAAGTTTGCTCAACCGTGGAAGCTGCCCGGCAACCGCGGACGGG